TCGCCTGTTCGCTCTTGGAGCTGTCTTGGGCCATCTTGGACGCTCTGACACCTCGCGACCGGCCCCGTCCAGGTCAGTGGGGAGGGCTAAGGGGAGGGGTAAACCCTTCCCCGAAGGGGAAAAAGGGGGTTGGCAGAGGAAACTCCCTAGACCACCTACGCCCTAAGGGCTGGTGGGATTCTAGACGCTTCGCGCATCCCCACCAGCCCGGCCAGAAACGACGCCCAGGCGAGTAGAGGGTCGTCCTGAGGGGCTTTTCTGCGTCTTGGGTGCCTCGGGGGGGCCTCTGTGGGCCGTTCGGGATCCTCTTTGGGGCCTCCTGGGGGCCTCTTGGGGCCTCTTGGGGCCATCTTGTGGCCTTTGGGGGCCTCCTGGGCGTTTCTTGGGGCCTCCTGGGCGCTTCTTGGATGCCTCTGGGGGGTCTCTCGGGGCCTCTTGGGGATCTCTTGGGGGCCTCCTGGGTGCCTCTTGGGGGGGTTCGGAGCCATCTTGGAGGAGATCGATCAACGCAGGGGGGTTCTCTAATTTCAGCCCCCCCCCCTCCCCTTTCCCCCCCCCCCCTCCCCCTCCTCCCCCCCCCCCCCCCTCTCAGGAGCCACGATCCTCGTGAGGAGTGTCGAATTTTAGCTTTCCCAGGAGTCGATCTTGGACGCTCTAACTACCCGCGGCCCCCCCTGTCCAGGTCAGTGGGGAGAGGGTGGGGGGAGGGGCAAACCCCTCCCCCAAGGGGAAGAAGGAGGGGTGGAAAAGGAAACGCTCTAAACCACCGACGCCCAGAGGGCTGGTGGGATTTTGCATCGACACGTGTGCGGTCGCAGGTGTTTGGACCAAGGCCCGGGCCAGGTCTGAAGGGTACATTACGGATGGGAAGTGCGCGTGCGGGGCCATGGACACACTTGCGCACAGGCTAGCAGACTGCCCTCTCCCACATATTGCTGAAGCTCGACAAGAGGCTGACGTCGGACCCGAGCTTCCCCAGTGGATACGCGACCATCCCGATGAACAGGACATCCCCCGATGAATGCTGGAGTGCAGGCTTGTGGTGTGGATGCCCAGGGCAGTGACTCTCTCGCCACACTTGGTACGATTGTGGCACAGTGCCTGGAGTCGGAGGTCGAGCTCGCCGAGTTTGCGATCGGCGGCTCGTGCTCCAAGCCATCCTTGGTTACGCTGCAGAGGGCTGGCTGGGCAGTGACGTTGCTCAATCCTGATTATGATGCGCCGTTCTGCTCAATGTGCGCGCCTGTCCCCATCCACGTTGCCACAGACGTCGGCTATGGCGGAGTACCTTGCGCTTGCATTCACTGGCCACGTTGCTGATCGTCGCTGTTGGGCCCATGCGGATTTCATGGGCGCAGTCAAAGCAGCGATGGCGCCAGCGGAGAGGCAGCTAGCAGTCAACTCCATCTACGGCGGGGTCATGGCTTTTGCTCAGGACATGGACGGGCACAGGTACATCGAGAGAGTTGCGCACGTGAAGGCTCATCGTCCGGGCGAAGAGCATGCGCAGCTCACCCCTGAGATTCGCAGGCTCACCGACGCGAGCGTCGTGGCCGACAGGTTTGCACGTGCTGGAACAGAGACGCATCCCTAGGCCGACCCAACGTTCCAGGAGGCGATGGGCGAGAGTCAGAAGCGAGTGACTGGCCTCACCAAGCTCGCAGTGCACATCCTGCCGCGCGATCCCAAGGATGAGGGGCGCTGGACGAGGGCGACCACAGGTTTCAAGAAGGCACGAAGCACTCGTACGCAAGGGTGGCATCAGTGGGTTGAGACGGATATGGGGCAGCAGTGCTCCCAGTGCCTCCAGCTCAGGCGGCAGGGTGAGCATGGTGAGTGCACAGGATGCCGAGGCACGCCGTCTTTCTTGGTGGATTTCCTCAAGGCGCCGCTGGGTCACAAGCTGATTGCTGTCAACCAGAAAGGGGACCTCACCTCCGTTCGCGGCGGCACAGTTCTCGCATGTGTTGGATGCGGTGCCTGGGCACAGCAGCGGAGCAAGCTCAAGTTGCGATCTGCATGTGTGGCACCGACAACGAAGGGGGCTGAGGTTCTACACAACTTGCGGCAAGGCGTGGGTCCTCATAAGAAGCTTGCCACGCTCATCGGTGCCACCGCCCAGCTCAAGAGGTTAGCGCGAGAGGAGGCCAAGCCAGTTACGGTCACTCAAGCGTGCTGATCCCGAGGGCCCCATACACTTTCGAGGTGCGCATGGCGGCCCTGCATGAGCGCATGAAACAGAAGGAGCTTGAGCGGCAGAGACGGGATGATGAGCGCAACACTTTCCTTGGGCGAAGTTCGATAGTGAGCATGTCTGAGGAGAAGGCCAGGCCTGTCGGTGCTGGCGGCGCTGCAGGAGACATCGACACGTAATTGGTTACCAGAGAGGCCGTGTGACGACCAGTACTGCATGCTGGTCCAGTCGTAAACTTCGAGAAGTTATTTTTTTTTCTGGCACGGCGAGTTCGTGCGCCACGCTGCCTGCGCTGCGGCCCTCGCGGTGCTCCAGAGGCAGCCCCAGCTCTACTTCGTCTGAGGAGGGGCTGCGCGGGTGGCGGCCGCCGCCGCCCGTCGGTTCCCAGGACGTGGGTATCTCTCACTCACTCACTCCTCCTCCCCCTCCTCCTCCTCCTCCTCCTCCTCCTCCTCCTCCTCCTCCTCCTTCTCCTCCTCCTCCTCGTCCCCCTCCTCCAGCGGGCCTCTGGGACTTCTGGCGGCTCCAGGGGCTCTGGAGGCTTCTGGGGGCTCTGGGGGCTTCTTGGAGCTCTGGGAACTCTGGGGGCTTCCAGGGCCTTTGGGGGGGATCCTGGGGGGTCCTGGGGGGGTCCTGAGGCTTTTGGGGCCTCTGGGTTCTTTGGGGCCTTCTGAGGTTTCTGAGGGCTTCTGGTGGCCTCGGGATCCTGGGGGGTCCTGGGACGATCCTGGTCCTCCGCTGCCTCTGGGGGCCTTGTGGCCCTGGGGGTTCGGGGGGCCCGGGAACCCCCGGGGGCTTCTGAGGGATCCTGGGGGGTCCTGGCGGATTCTGGTGGCGCTGGGGGGTCTTGGGGGCGCTGGGGGGGGGTCTGGGGGGTGCTGGGGGCATTCTTGCCGCGGCGGGAGTCCGCTTGGATCTCTCTTGCAGGGCTCGCTGGCGGGACTGGTTCGGTTCGGCCGATTCGGTTCGGCGGCGCTGGTTCGGTCGTTTCGGTTCGTCGGGCCGGTTCGGTGCAGTTCTGCCGTTTCTGTCCGAGGGCCGGTCCGTCTCGGCCGGATCGGTTTGAGGGCGGGCTTTCGGTTTCCGGTTCGGGTCGCGGCCATCATGCAATTGCAAGGCAATAGTCATGGGACGACATGTTCAATAAAACGTATGTTTGATCATATTTCTGATATTCTTGACTCTTCGCCCAAAATCCGCCTGCATGGGGACATGCCCGACCTGACCTTGTCTCTCCTTGCGCCCGTCCGCTTTCCCCCCTCGTCCAATCCCACCCGTCCGCGCGTGACATCGCGGGGGCCTCCGAGGGCCCCCCGCCGGTCAAACGGTGGCGAAGTGCCGCGGCGAGCATCCAGGCCCACCAGACAATGTTCGAAGAACGTTATGTGGTTTTTGCGACAATGGATTAACGCATTTCAGGCCGGTAATGTTTTGCGTAGACACATCGGGCTTATGCTGTAATGCCATTGCCTATGTTTTTGGTACACTTGTTGGTTCTAAGAAGACCTCGCTGTAGGCGCATAGGAACGCCGTGACGGCGGGTCCCTGCTCAACCCGGGCCCTGTCACTCCGCGACCATTTCTGGAGAATCGGTGGCGCCACAATCCCCAGCGTCCAAGAAAGTGAGCCATGGGAGAGCGTCAAGGCGGCCCAGGACGCCCCCGAGACAGCCCAACAAGCGTGCTCCAAGGCTGTCCAAGGCAGCCCTGCCGTCGGATCTGGAAACCCCCATGAACATTCAAGGTCGCCTTAGGAGGCTTCCAAGAGTCCCCCGAGAGATATGGGGAAGCCCTCGAGATGCCAAAATCATTGAAATACCATTGAACATCAATGTTTTGTTGTTCCAGGCTTGCGCAAACCCGCCAAGACAGCTTCAAGAGGTTTCTAAGGTGTCTCGAGCGGCGCGAGGTGGCCCCAAGAGGCCCCCGATATTCGTGCATGCGCCGGAGGCGTGATTGGAGAGGTAGGGGGAGGGAGAGAGATGAGGATGATGTGGAAGGGAATGAGAGGGATAATGGGACTGACAGGTGCAATCAGGGAGGTGGTGTTGAAGGACGAGACGGGTTACGGGGAGAGCGCAGGCCAAGGCAGAGGATGGGGAGGAGGAGGAGGAGGAGGAGGAGGAGGACGAGGAGGAGGAGGAGGAGGAGGAGAAATAACAAAAGAAAGGGGAGGAGGAGGCAGGATGCAACGAGGAGGAGGAGGAGGAGGAGGAGGAGGAGGAGGAGGCGCAGGAGGAGGAGGAGGAGAGGAGGAGGAGAAGGAGGAACAGGAGGCGGAGGAGGAGGGGGAGGAGGAGGAGGAGGAAGGGGGGGAGGAGGAGGAGGAGGAGGAGGAGGAGGGAGGAGGCGGAGGAGAGGAGGAGGAGGCGGAGGAGGAAGAAAGAGGAGGAGAGGAGGAGGAGGAGGAGGAGGAGGAGGAGAGGGGGAGGAGGAGGAGGAGGAGGAGGAGGAGGACGAGGAGGAGGAGGAGGAAGAGGAAGGCGAGGAGGGGGAGGGGGAGGAGGATTAGCAGATGGGAGGGGGGTGACGACGATGGGAAGTGACGCGTGGATGAGGGGGGAGGAGGGGGAAAAGGAGGAGTGGCGGGTCGACCAGGAGGAATAGGATGAGATGGGATGGACATGAGGGAGGGACATTGAGGAGGAGGAGGAGGAGGAGGAGGAGGAGGCAAAGGGTGTGGGGAATGTGAGGTTAGTCATTTATATATGCATAGATTTCAAATGTTCTTGGCAAACAGACAGGTGGAGCCGAATTGTTTAAACGTAGGGAGCGGTGGAGGGAATGTTGACCTGCATGGTTGCCAGGACCGGTGGTTCGTCTTCGACGCCATCCTGGTACTTCACGGGAATAGAATGATGAGAGGCATGTGGGAGAGAGGCGCATGCGGATTGGCGTTGCGTACGGATGATGAGCCCGACGATGCCATCCAATGGGGGCAGTAATAAGCTATGGGTGGTGGCTGCTGATGACGTGGCAGACTTGTGCACCATTTGCACCTGAACGATCAATTGTCGGATTTTGGGGTGAGATGAGTGAAACCCACTCGCCCAAACAAGAAATCGGTTTCGGTTCGTGTCGCTCGTGCTGGTAAGGCCAAGCATTGGTTGTCCTGGTAATTTGTCCCAATGGTTGATCCGTCGGTTGCCCTGATGGTTGTCCCGAAGGCTGTTCCGATGGTCGATCCAACGGGTGTCCCGATATTTGTTTGGATGGTTGTCCCGATGGTTGTCCCGACGGTTGTCCCGATGGCTGTCCCGATGGCTGTCCCGGTGGTTGTCCCGATAGTCGTTGTCTCGATGTCTGGCAAGATGGTCTGCCCGATGCTTGCTTCAATGGTTGTTCCCTGGTTGTTCTGTGGTTGTCCCGTGAGTGTCCCGTTGTTGTCTTGTGGTTGTCTCTTGGTCATCTCGTGGTTGTTCGGCGAATGTCCCGTGGTCATCCCGTGGTGTTCCCGTGATCGTCGCGCAGTTGTGTTGTGGTTGTCGAGCGTTTGCCTTGTGATTGTGCCGCGGAAGTCTCTCGTGGGTGTCCTGACTTCATTTTGCGTTTCGTCCTCGGCTATCCCGTGGCTGGTTCCTGGTTGCTCCGCCGTTCGTCCCGGGGTTGTCCCGTGGTCGTCCCGCGTCTGCCCCAGTTGTTCTTCCAATGGTTGCCCAGATGGCTGATTCGATGATCTGTCCAATGGTTTTCCCGATGGTTGCCCCGACGGTTGTCCCGATGGTTGCCCCGACGGTTGTCCCGATGGTTGTCCCGATGGTTGTCCCGATGGTTGTCCCGATGGTTGTCCCGATGGTTGTCCCGATGTTTGTCTCGATGGTTGTCCCGATGGTCGGGCCGACGGTTGTCCCGATGGTCGCCCCGGTGGTCGGCCCGACGGCTGTCCCGTTGGTTGTCCCGATGGTTGCTCCGGTGGTTGTTTTTGTTGCGTCGTGGTTTTCCAGTGGTTGTTCATTGTTTGTCCAGTGACCTTCCCGTGATTTCCCCATGATTGTTCTTTATTTGGTTCGTGGTTGTCCAGTGTTTGTCCCGAGGAAGTCCAGTGATTTATCCGGCGTTGTTTTGATGTGTCTGCCCGGTTGTCTCGTTTTGGACTTGAAGTCCCGTTCGTTCTTGTCTGATCGCGTGCTCTTCAAACCGTATATCCCAAGCCCTCGATCCCCGCCCTCCGCGTCTTCGATCGTACCCCAGTTGGGGGTTTATCTTTCTTACCTGAATCGTGTATTCGTGCAGCCCCTAAGGCATGGAAGAAAGGACGGATGGAAGGAAGGGACAAGGGAGAGGAGGGAGGAGGATGAAGCACGAGTGAGAGAGTAGCAGGAGTGGGGCCAGGAGCAGAAAACAGGTGGCAGAACCAGACGGGCTGGCGGATCGGCCCGAACGGCTGGGTCGGGAAGGCGGACCCAGGCGGCCAGGTCGAGCAGGAGTGTTGCTGAAGCGTGAATACTGACTGAATCGCGAGGAGAGCTCGAGCGATAGCGCGATTCTCTATTAAATCGTGAGACCGGCCAGATCAAGAGCGTGATTTCTGGATGTCGAGGGCGCGGCCTCTTAATACATTGCGAGGAAGTCCCACGCGAGAGCGCGATCCCTGCATAAGTTGTGAGGACGTCCCGCGCGACAGCGCAATTCTTGAGTAACCTGTGAGGAAGTATTCGGCGGGAGCCGCTGTTGTTGTAAACCGGAGGCCAGGGGCCCAGTTGTGTGACACCGCGTGTTCCACTAAAAAACCCGGGTGCGAACCCCGAGGGGGTCATTTCAATCGAAAACATGGTTCACCGAAGGTGGGGGATCAACCTTAACGATTCTGTATACATGAGAAACAATCATGCAAACAACAAAACACAACAAGACCAACACCACCAACAACACCAACAACACCAACAACGACAACAACAACACTAACAAACACAACAACAACGACAGCAACAACGACAACGACAACAACAACGACAGAAGAAACAATCCGTACCGCAGAACCTCACTTCAGCCACGCGCCCAGGGACAGTGAATGACCGTTCGGCCCCCTTCCTCTGACTTGCGTTCGGAGAATGCCTGACTGCATCGGAGCGATGAGGAGTGTGTCGAGGAGCTCTCCCTTGAACCGCACCGCGCATAGCGTGCGTTGTGGCGCAAGAAGGATGGGAAGGAGGGCGAGGTGCTTTTCATGGTGCTGGAGACCTGGATCGTGCCACTCATCAGTCTGATGCTCGACCAAGACGGCCTCCAGTTTGATGTCCTCACCCTCCTCCCTTCCCTGCCATCTCCCCTCCCCTTCCTCATTCATTCCCCCTCCCCTCTCCTTCCTCCTCCTTCCCCTCCTCCTCACTCTCCTGTCCTCCCCCCCGTTTGTTCCTTCCCGGCCGTAGCCATGTTGGTTTAAGCTTTGAGGTTCCCTCAGGACCCAGAGGATACCGCTGGTCTGCGGCTCGCTGTCATTCTTCGGCCAGTACGCCTTGGCAAGAGCTGCAGCTGGTTCTCCCCAGCTGCGGCCTCCCGGCGCTGGTCAGTTCGCCTTGGTCCAGCGTCACATTTGGTTCACCCCAGCGGCAGCACGCCCGCCATTGCCAAACGATATGTTGAGTCCGATGCCTCTGGAATTTCAAGCCGAGGTAATCTGGTGCCGCTTGTGTGGGCACGTGCTGCTACCAGCCGCGGCTCCCGAGCGAGCTCCCCTGGGACCGTGGCCGACTGGCCCGCCGGTGGCGGAAGATGACGCACGCCTCTGGGGGCAGGGTTCTGCCGAAGGGGCGGGCCGAGGCACGAGGGGCCCACGCGCGCCGCCCGCCCCCGAGGCCCAAGCAGAGGCGCGCGCCCTGAGCCATGGGCGCGTGCCGCAGTCAAAGGCGGATGGGCGTGGCGGGGTCAGCAAGCGGAGCAGGCAGCACCCCGGGCAGCACAGCTGAGCCCCGTGGGGCTCCTCCGTGCCCGGACGGGCGCCTGCCCCGAGGTGCACGCCCCGGAGGCCAAGGCGCCAGCGGCGCCAGGGCCCATCCGAGCAGCTTGCCTCGCCCCACCCCTCGCTGCTCCGCCAGCCACGCTCTGTGGGGTACTCCGGATTCCATAATAAAGTGGGGGGGGTCACATTTTGGGGGGGGGTCTGATTTGAGGTGCCTTGGAGGGTTCGGGGGGGATCTGGGCAATGGGCCGCGCTTTCATGGATGGTCTGGGGGGGTCTACAATTTCTCTTCTGGGAGGGTTGTGACCCCCTCCCTTTTATTATGAAATCTGGAGTAGTTGCTGCCCTCCGCCGGTCACGCTCTGAGGAGTGTCGCTGCGATCCCCATCTTCTCCCTGTCCCGCCAGCTCCGCTCCGCACGGTGCAGTGCACCCCAGGGCTCGAGCTAGAATGTGTACTGGCGATCTCGAGGACCGTGTTTCGGTTTGAGTTCGTTTCGGGGCAAGGGCCGAGCGAAAACAGAACAAAGGAAAAACGTAACACGACGAAAACGGGCAACATGTTATAGCTCGAGCCTTGTGAGGGGAATGAGTGCCACGCTGCACGCGGCATGGTGGCCATGCCTCTGCGGGGTGGACTCGATCCACGGAACTCAATGGAAGTTTTCTCCACCTTCCCCTCATCCTGCTCATCGTCCCCTTATCATCCTTCGTTCTCCCCCTCGCCTCCTCCTCCTCGTGCCTCCTCCGCCCTTCCTCGTCCTTCCCATTCCCCCTTATTCGTCGTTCCTCCTACTCCTGCCGCAGTTTCCACCCACTCTGGATGCGATTCTACTCCTCCAGAAGCTGCAGTGTGCAGAGGCACGCCTCTCTCGCGTGTCTCGAGGTAACGAAAGCATGCAGTCACATTTCATCGCAGATTCCCCGAATATCTTGGCATATAATGGAGGTGGGGGGGAATACGGAAGCCCAGACAATCTTGGAACATGTTGGGCATCCTGGGATTTGTGCCTCTTTATTTGTGTGTCCTTTGGCCCCTTCAAATATATCAACAACGTGTGCTCCCACTCGCACCTTCCTCGGCATGGCCTTCCCCATGTTTTTTTGTTCCCACTCGGATCGTCTTCTACCTTTTTCGGCTTTTGCCGTTCCGACAGGCGCTCTCGCCTCGGTGCATGCCGGTGCACCCGATCCGAATGCTGCTCTCGTCCCTCCCCAGACGCCGTCTGCGTTTGCCGCCGCTTGTGCCGCGGCCCACGCCTTGCCACCCTCGCGGGGATCTGGCGGCCGTGGTCGTCGTCGGCCACGTCGTCGTCGTCTTCGTCGTTCTCGTCCCTGCCGTTGTCGTCACATCTCTCCTCCAAGGAGTCCTCCTTGCCGTGCTCGTCCTCGCCATGGTTCTTCTTCGACAATCTGTCGAGCTCGGCTGAGCTCGTGTCGTCAGCAATTCGGGCAGCCGGCCTGACGCATCGCCGTCCGCACGGACGGAACCGCTCGCACCGACGGCCCGTGTGCAACAGCAGTGCATGCCGCTTCAACCTGGAACGCTATGCGAGGACATGCCAATAACAAAGGGGGATATCAGAGAAACCTTTCCAGGTAGAAGCAGCAAACAGGGCAGTCCAGGCGGTGCATGACATCAGCCTGAACCTTGGGGGCGGACCAGAGACAAACACTTGGGGTCATCGACGACCTGGAAAGTAGGCCACAGGGCCCAAAGAAGTCGTTCAGGCCGACGTCTAGATGGGGGCAGGTCCCGCTCCTATTCCTTCCCATCAATTGCGAAGTTCGCGCCATGAGTGGGCAACACAAGAACGCAAGGATGATGTGGATAGAGTCGAGGGCGACTGGGCGAGGGGAGCCCGCAACAGGGTGGCGCTCGGCTGCCACTTCCGCCACCTGTGCCGGCCCCCTCTCAATTCGCCCCCGCGCTGCACATTCCAGGAGCTCGGATTGCTAGACGGACGAAGAATCATTAGCCTCATGATCACGGACCGGGGAGACTGCAACGCCAATCCGGATGAGCACCAGGTATCTGATGGTGCCCGAGTGTGTTTCCACGGGGTCCAGCCCTCCCACCGATCCACCATCTCCCCGCTAAGAACGCACCAGCTACCGCGTCTCACCACTTCAGTTCGGAAGGCGAGCCTACTCAGAAAGCGCCCGATGCCTCTCTCGATGCCAATGTCTCTGACAGTCGGCGTCACAGAATGGAGGCTACAGAGCATAGAAGACCAGAGATGAGGCATCGCCGCCAAGCAAAAAGAGGAACATCGAAAATCATCCGGGATGCAGGGCGCAGTCGCTGCCAGTAGTTGCTGAGCACGCGGGAAAAAAACAGCAACGGCAGGAACACGAGCACGGCGCGAACACGCCCAAGCCAAAGAAGCACCACGAAGCTCAGCACTATCACGCAGCGCGTTTTTTTGTTCCTGGGGCGGCGGTGGGAGAGCACGCATGCCCCAATGCTCGGATGGACGCCTTAACCCACTCTCCTTATCGAGCGTCCAGTCTCCGCGCCGAGATGTTTGGAGTGCCCCCGAAGACGATGTAGCTCGCCGTCGGTACGTTGTGAATGCGTTTCAGACTTTCGCCAAGTACGCAGCTCAGCCCCAGTAAGAACGCCAACGATCTCTCCTGTCTTAGTGATGTTGGGGATCCCCGTCGCCCAGGAATCGGAGACATGCGTTTCTTCGTCGTCGTGGATCCGCCAACCTCTCGAACGTGAACCTGAGATTTCATTTCAAGTTGGGCCCATTCAGAGATTGCAGCAACTTTAGGCGCAGGACACCAACGCAGATAACCGCAGCTGCGGCACCAGAAACAATCGGTGGAACATGCGAGTCAAGCTCCCGAGCCGCGATCGTTGCATCAACAGGAGGTACTCCCGGGCGAGAAAATGCTTCAATCGTCATCCCCAATGACGCACGCCACCTGGTCCCTCAGCAACGTTGGGCCTTCTGGCGTGACGATTAAATTTAAGGCGATGATATCGCGCGCGCGTTTTCTCTTGTTCGCCGACCATGTCAAGCCCCCTCAACTCCAAAACGCGTTCGCGATCGAGCAGCGCGCAGTTCTGTTGGATCCAGCGTGCGCAGGTGTTGCCCACGTTGGTCAGCTGCTTGACCCGTTGGGACCGGTCGCCAAATATGGTTCCGCACACTGGACACAGAGGCCCCCGAGGTGCCAGCTGAGCAAGATCGATCGGGCCAGGCCAAAGTGCACTGTCGCCGGAGCGCGGCTGTATCTTTACATGTATTGCTGCATTCGTAACAAACATATTGGGTGACACGGGTAACTGGACCTGCTGACTGACCAGCGAAGGTCTTCGCGCGGCGCATCCAACTATCTGCGAGCATGTGATCGAGCTCGCGCTCGACCTAATGTCGCCAGACCATCTTCGCTCGAGCGCGATCGTGTCTGGGAGATTTGGAGGCATACTCGAACCGGTCGCGCAAAACCCAATCCCGCCCGTCTGCTCGAGCACCATTGAGCACAACCCGTCGCGAATCATCCGAGAGCAACGCGGACCGCGACCCGACAGCCTGCCGAAGCAGACCCACCAGGAATCAGAGTATTGCAGGTGCCTGAACGAAGAGCGATCCGAAGTATACGAGCTGACCACGCCGAATGACTTCCTGCACGGGCATCCTGTTGCCGGCGCACATGTCAGACTGTCCGCGTAGAAAACTTAGCTTTCGGCGTGGTGCGAACGACCCAGTATTGCCCTGTGAGCAGTGAACCGAGGGACCGCCAAAGCTCGGATCTCGGGGTTTGAGAGTTTCTGCCAGATGTCGGTCAAGTAGAAAAGATCCGCGTTCACACGATTGTCGGCGAATGTCTCATTATCCGTCGTGCGCATGCGATGCAGACGGGCGCGTTCGCGTCGGCTAGGGCCAGGATACATCGCGCCGCGCATCCTTTCGGCAATTTACTTGTGCAGCTTGCAAATCCGAACTTGCCGACGCTTGGGCGAGCAGATCTTCGCGTCGTCGGACCCCCCGAGCTGCTTCTGGAGAAGTGCTGCGCCGCGACCCCCTGGAGCGATTATCATCGCCGACTTCCCCGCTTGAAGTTGTGCGTAAATCCATGGGTCACCATGCCGCAGTGCACGGCGTCGACGCCCCGGCTACTTGCTCCAATGATTGCGCCTGCTTTGGTCGGCGCCGCATGATGAGGCCGCCACCTGCAAAGGAAATGCCAACCTGGTCTCGCATGGGCAGGTCCTTGAAGAGGACTCTCTCGCCACTTGGCACCTCCAGATCTAGACCAGTACCCGGGGCTTGGACGCCGCCTGCTGCAGGTTCATGCGGTCGAGCAAACG